TGAAAAAAAAGCGAAAAAAAGCGAAAAAAAAAGCGAAAATAAAGCGAAACAAATGCGAAAATAAAGCAAAAAAAAAGTGAAAAAAAAGCGACAAATATGTTTTTGCTGTACCCTCCTAGGAAAAAAACGAAAAAAAGTGAAAAAAAGCGAAAAAAAAAAAAGCGAAAATAAAGCGAAACAAATGCGAAAATAAAGCAAAAAAAAAGTGAAAAAAAAGCGACAAATACGCACAGCTACATTTTTTTGCTTTTTTGTTTGCTTTGCCTTTTGCTTTTTTTTTTGCTTTGTTTTTGCTTTATAAAACTATTTTGGCTCCTTGTATCTATGGCTGGCGTGCCCGACATAAATAAATATATATATATATATTATATGTCTAAATTCCATGCATGGCGTGTCTCAGCTTCGGCTGTCACCACATGTCCGGCCTGGGCGACGCCTTTCGAGGTTCCAGTTGCGTCACCAGAAAGCCTTCCTGACGCATCAGGTGGCCAGTCTTCAGGACTTCCCTCCCAAGGACAACCCCGGTGGCCAGTCCTGTTGAAGTCGATACCTCTGAAGGTGCACAGTGTAGTGGTACTTGTGTTGCCAGGTCTAGGGACTAAGACTCGCCACATCAGGAATGCGTGCGATCCAACATCTCGGGCTCAACAAAGGAACTGCCTGCACCGTGAAAAACCTGGCTCCATGTTGAGTGAGCTCCGTGTGAAACCAAAGGTCTCCAATCAAATACCCTACACGACTTGTGGTATTATCTAAAAACTCCTTTGAAGGTATTGAAGAACCGATACCCTACACGACTTGTGGATCTCATCAACACTCCAATCAATTAACCTCCATTCAACAATCCCTTGAAGGTCCAGAAATGGTTCTGTTCCGAGTGTGACGTCGGCTTGGCCGGTCTACAAGCACACAATATATAGTTATATGTATATATCTAACATTATATATGCTTATATGATTATATGCGTTAAGTGGAAAATACCTCCCCAAAGTCTGTTTCACAATATGATTGGAAGGTGAAACTATCCAAGGTGAATCTTGGGTCAAAAACATGCCACCCATCCTGCAAAATTATTGTTTCACCAACCCTAAACCCTAACTCTATGTTCCTCTCCTCCACTTCCACCTGCTTCACTTTCCTCCCGCCAGTCACTTCGCTCCTCGACAGTCACTTCGTAGGTGCAGCTCGTCAGGGGTTCCACCGCCGAGCCCAAGTCCACCAAGAGCACACGCGCGCTCATCAGCAGTGCCTCGACTCACAATGAAGGTACAGGCAGTACACCAGTGGTTCGGTCACACGAACAACAACAACAACAACAACAACAACAACAACAACAACAACAACAA